AAAAAAAAAAAAAAAGCGTGACTTGGACAGAGAGAGGCACTGGGCAAGCGAAGCAGCTTCTCCCCAGAAAACAGGCAGTCCTTGGAGAAGCGAGCGGAGCTCTGAGTGCTCAGTTGGGCCTCACGTTTGTTGGCCTCGGCACTTTCTGATACTGCAGGAAGGAAATGAGCATCAGAGCTCCACTGTCTAGACACCCACATATTCACATGTACTTGGAGTCCGCCGTTTAGAAACATATTTCAACACCGGCTGGAGTGTAATTATTGCCAAATTTTGCTCTGCTGGTATAATAAACAATAACTAGGGTAAAATTGACTAATGATCCAGTATTGTTCTACGCTTTGAAGTTTGCGAGGTCAACTGTCTGCACGGTACTAAAACAATAGCATTTCTGTTATTCTTTCAGATTAATTGGGGGACACTCATTTCCTTTTACTCGTAATGAAGTAATCTGGCGCCATTTGTAACAAATTATATTGTTATTGCGCTAGAATCCAGTTATTAAATGCAGGAGGGCGACCCTGTGTGTGTTTGTGGACAACACATATGCAGTTCGGCGCCGCGAGTGTTCTTGTGCTTCTCATCCGGAGTGTTCCGGGGCTGGCGTCGTCTGGGCCTCGGCCGTGGGTTCATGCGGTGCCTCGGGCTAGTGCAAGACCCGCTCCCCCCCCCCCCCCCCCGAAATCTTCTCCCTATTTGTTTGGAGTGCCCTGCGTCGGCCCAAAGCCAGCAGCGTGAAGAATGGCGGTGCACCTGGCCCCAAGATGTGGCCCGCCTTGCTGCCTCGGAAAAAAAACTTCACAAACTGAGTCACACTCCCAGCCTCACTGATCTCAGAGGCTGGAGCAGCTCCTTTGTTGAGTTGTGTGTGGGGGGGGGGATCTGTAATGCAAATTGTGAAATATGTTGATCCCATCAGTGCTACACTTCTCTGATCTCCTCATGCTCCCCAGATCTTGCACTTACTGGTGTTTTATTCGTCGCATTTATCATGATTGTTATTATTGCAAATCTCGTTGGCTGGCTTAATGCTTTTAACCTTGTCAGAGTTGATAAGATATTGTTCCACCGCTTTCCTTCCTCTGTTTGACTGGTGTGCAGAATGTTGGCCACGAGCTGGTGTTGGCTTTGTGTACACTCTCACTGCAGTTGCCTAGCTATAAACTGGCCCTTAATGACAAGAAGAGTGTGTGTGTGTGTGTGTGTGTGTCCATCAGACACTCAGGTTATTATTTGACTAGTTTTTATGATGCTGTGAAATCGACCACATTAAAGGGCCTTTGTCTCCCAGCTGGACCACAGAAGGCTCATCACTGACATCACTTCACACTTTCAGGCGAGCAAAGTTCACGCTGCATTTGTCCGCGATAGCGATGGGAAAGATAATGATGATGTATCTCTATATGTGCAAGTCCCTGGCTGCTCCGTTTCTCCCTTTCCCCCCCCCATATCTCCTCTCTCTCCCACACACACACACACTGTGTGCTGACCTACAAGCATAGTGTCATACGCCATGACATCACTCCTGTACTCCCAGGTTTCCTCGACTCCCACAGCACACGTAGCGCAGATATTTTTTCAGGTCGTTTAATGAGCTCTGTATGTCAGATCAGCTACGCTGGTCCAGCAATGACGGGCTGCTGCAGGCGCTGAGCCCTATCTTTCTTCCTGAGACAGTTTGCTCGCCTTTTCAAGACGGGGGAGGGGGGGGGGGGCAGATTGAAGCTAATGCTCCAGATTGCTTACGTATCCTTCCAGTAGTTGGCTTATTATCAGCTGATCTCTTATTTTTGTTAAGCCTATAAAAAGTTTTTCAACAGAAGATAAAGTTACTGTGGTCATAAGTAGCATTTGTTAGACAAGCGGTCCAAAAACCCAAAGTTATATATATATATATATATTCACGAGGGAGTGACCTCATGTCTGAAAATTCTTGACGGATGAGTTCTTCAGTGATCTAAATACTCATCAGTTAATGTTGTATTGATTAATTAACTGACTGTTTCGAAAATTACACTACTTCAGGGCATCTGGTGGCCTTGTGTGTTTTTAAATGTCTGCTGTGCTCCACGGGGAAGCTTTACCCTCCTGATATTTAACAGTCTCTTAATTACCGTTTATAATGCGTTGGGAGGTGTTTGGGTTTGTGTGGTGGCCCAGCCCTCTTGTTTCTCATCTGGCTCATCTCGGCTGACAGAAGAGAGGTTACGGTGACCCGTGCTCACTGATGGACGGCCAGCAGCGTAGACTAGAACACCGGTGACGTGTTGGCCGGTGCAGCTTAGAACAGACACGGAGCTACACGGAGCCTGTGTGTTTTTATTTATTTGTGAATGTTTTGTGACATCAAGCTGTTTTAACTTGACTATGACGACTTCAGGGGAACTTTGTGCCGAATGGAGGCCAGAGTGTGCCGCCAGTTAAATAATGTATTCTGTGGTCAGGAGTTAGTTTTTGATTAAGTGATAAATTCAATTTAAATTATACTTGTAAAATAACTGCTGATAAGATGCTCGTTAATTTCACCTGGCTGCTGTGCACCAGAGTTTGAAATTGAATTGAGTGGGAAAGTATTTGGCTCAACACGCAGCCTTGAATCGTCCCACGCTGTACTTTTGGTTCAGTACCCGGCACAGAGAGCTTTAGATTGTGATCCTGCTGACTAATGTCAAACAGTCCTGCCCATTAGTATAAACTAGTTGTGCCATACAATGGAATGCTGTGTTTGAAGCGTTAAGGCAAACTGCTTTTGTAGTGTTTGAGGTGGTAAATCGCAGCGACTGCTCCCATCTCTACTATACATCCCTTTTTCTGGCTTGTTGAATTATTCAGTTAAAAAGTTTCTCGTTCCCCTCGGTACGTTTGTTTCTGCCGGTGTCGGTGGCTGCATCTCCCAAAAAAACCTCTAAATGGCTTCAAGGCTTCTTCCAGAAACGGCCCGATTGGAAAGTCTACTTTCTGGAAAGCATTAGCCGCGCTTAGCACCGGCGGCCCCCGCCACCACCCTCCTCCTCCTTCCACAGGAGAGAGAGAGAGAGAGAGAGAGAGAGGGGGGGGGGGGGGGGGGGACCAGCCTTATCACCATCGCTTCATGCAGTAGGTGTTAAAATGCTGTGAAACTTATCTCATCTGATAGGCGAGAGAATAAATCTGGCTGAGAATGAGACGGGAGAAGAAAAAAGGCTCAGTTGTGTAAACACCGTCGGCGACTCAGAGAGAGGCTGAGCTCTCACACAAAGGAGCCGTTCTGTTTGTTGCTGTGGCCTTTAGCACCAGCACTGCAGCTTTGGCTCTCAAACGTGACTTGATTTTTTTTGACTGGATATCTGTATCTCCAGGCAGAGGCGGCGGACCCGTAGGAAAGCTGTGTGATTCTTTTCACTCGGCTTCACCGTAACGAGGTAACTGCGTCCTGTTGCAGCAGGGCGACAGTTTAGCGGTCCGGGCCGCTGATGGGAGGTGCCCCGGTAAAGGATCATGACATCGTCACACATGCATATAAACAGTCTTTCCCACAAAATGATGATTGTAATGTCACGTTAGTGGTGGGGGATGAAGTCAAATTATCATGAAGACATGTCATGTCTTGACATGTTTCCAATTACTCAACACCAGACACCCACTGAACATTTAGAGAATAGCACACTAGGTAATACTTGTCTCATTTGTGGTCAGTAAATTATCAAATTCACTTCCCATATTACTTCTTTTTAACAAGCTACTCTAGCTGTCACACCTTGTGGTTTCCAGGTGCACGCAGCCGTCAAATCTTTTTTTGTCGTACGAAAGTGGGCGTGGCTTAATCTTGGTTGGGGGAAAACGACAGGCCTCCCTGTCAGGCCTGTGCCTGGAGGGCAGACACATGCTCTGCTATTATCTCGTCTCACACACACACACACACACACAAAAAGAGATTTGGGGCGGGAGACTGTCATTATCTGCAATCGAGCACACAAGACAAAGGGAAATCTTGTCAAGTGAGACGGAGACTAAGATTTATGGGCGTAAATACTATTAAAACCTTTTGCTCCTGTATTGTCCCAGCCTCCTCACACTAGCTTTCATAATAGCCATTCCTACTTTCTCTAAACATGCAGGATGACATGAATTAACAGCCCCTAAACCCCCCCCCCCCCCCCCCCTAAGACCGCGGTGGGGCGAGAGGGTAAGGAATGTCTTGCATCAGGTGAAAGTGTCCCCAGTGTCTGGGAACAAGCAGCCATCTCTCGGCGGGCCTGTGAAACATTCCTGGGCCGTCTGGATGGAGGGACGGAGGGGCGGATCGCGGGCGGCCTCGGAGCTGTGGGCTCCCTTTGTCTCGTCTGGCCAGACCTCGACACACACACAAAAAAAAAACACACAAGCGGCACTCTCACTGCGGCCTCCTCCTCTGCCAACGGCTCAGACCGCGTGCCAGCCAGGCGGGGAGGTGTCTGACAGAGATGTCACTTGTTTATTGCGCGACGTCAATTAGATTCATACGGCGTGGGAAGCTCGATCTGAAAGGCAGATGCGTGTGTTATAGGTGAGCACACACACATGACCTCCTTTCCTTGTCACTCGGTCCCCGGCGGCGGTAACGCTATATCGCTGGACAAATCGCTCCGTAATAAGCCTCTGTACGAGTCGAGTGCCAGCTATTAAATACACCGTTGCGCCTAAAGTGAAAATTGACTGCAGCAGATGAATGGCCTGTGGGTTATGTTTTGGAAAGTGAGCCAGAGAGAGAGAGAGAGAGACGCTCTCTATCGATATAGTATTGATCCGGCCCTCCGTGAAGGCCGGCTGAATGGATGCACTGCTGTGTTTTCAGGCATACTTAATACGGGCCGTTTGTCAAGTGAGAGAAATAATTGTATTTGAACTACTGAATGACACATACAATAAAGGTTTCTAAAACGCTGCTGATATTTAGATCTTTTTAATTGTCCTCCCCCGTCTACTGTTTGGCAAATGAGCATTTGAACTCCTTTTTAAATTGACATCTTCTTCTTTTTCAGAAACCTTGGCCACAACAAGCTGACCTCCATCAACGCTGAAGCTTTTGACTCCCTTCCCAACTTGAGAGAGCTGTAAGTAGTCACACACACACTGCACACTTTCTAATGGACTTCCTAAAGTGTGTGTATGGCCCTGTTTTCCTCTGTTGTGAGCGTTTTAAGTGTTAAACTTTTCATTTTTTTTTTTTTTATCAATGACTTAATTCTGACTAACGTACGCGATTGCCGCTCTGCTTCCAAGTAGCGTCCTCGTATGTGTTTCTTTGAACTAAGTCCAATTGAGAATAAAGTGGTGGTTTTCTATATTAAGCCTCCTCTCCACCACCTGATACTGTGGCCAACGCTGGCCTTGTAAATATTTTATATGGTGAGGAGAGGGCCTGGCTCTGTGTCACTCAGCGCCAGTACAAAAGACACGTACACACACACACACACACACGAGCTAACCGGTGATACACACACTGGTGACATCTCTGGCAGGCCGGCCCGGCCAGTCATACGCTCCCCCGACATCCGTTTTACTCCCGTGTTATTTTTGGTTTTTTAAAAGGATGACTTGCTACTTGCTCTGCGGAGGACATGACACGCCGTGTTTTAAATCTTTTGATTTGTACGAGGTTTAATTGAACTTCATGTGATGGAGCACGTGGGATAGCACAGCCGATGACACAGCTGCATCTCAGCTAGCATGTAAAACTTTGTACAACTTCACAAATGTTGGGTTTAGCTTTAGCCTGACACACGCTCTGATTTTGTGTCTAAATTTCAGATTTGGAATAATAATTTATTTTAGTTTGGAAGTCTGTTATACCTGTGAAAATGCCTCTTAAGTCCTCATAACAACAAGTCATTCTTGTCTTTTCCTTCTCTAACCCACTACTATCTGTGTTTGTTACTTTCAGGCGGCTGGACCACAATGAGCTGACCTCCATACCAGATTTAGGACAGGCCGCTTCCAAGATTGTATCTCTCTACCTGTGAGTACTGACCCCCCCCCCCCCCCCCTTTGCTGCCGAACACGGTGCCAGAATTATCTGACTCCCCGTTACTGTATTCTGAGGTCAGTGGCCTCTTTGAAATGCTCCTGAAATAGTCTGCCTCCGTCTGTGGAGGATGCATATGCCTCTGCATCTCAGAAGTAATGCATTAATGTGAAAGAAACTCCATGACATTTAAATAATCCCCCCACCTTCCCTACACTTAAGCTCTGTCGGTGTAAATATGGAGCTCTGTCTTTAGCGTTTAGCGCGTGGTCAAGTAACCGACTAGTGCCGGCTCGTATATAGTTCCACCTCGGTTGTGAAACTGTGCCTGCGGGGACTGCCTGCACTGGCATCTCACTGGAGATTTACTGCCCTATTTGGGTAGGGCGTGTGTGTGTGTGTGTGTGTGTGTGTGTGTGTGTGTGTGTGTGTGTG